ACTTGAGCGTGTAATGTTAATTTTACCTGTGATCCTTTGAATAAATCAGCACTGTTTTGAAGTTACTTGGACTGCCTCGTCTCTCAGAGTTAGCATGGTAAGACAGACCATATCCTACAAGACATAATTCTTACACAAAATTAATACAAAAATAACTGGTGTCAAGGTACCCTTCTCAGAGTCAACATTATCTTCTAACCTTGAAGCAGAGCACACAGGAGCAGACTTTGAATCTTACTTCTTAGCAAGATATTAAGTAATTCTGGTGAACAATCAAAACCATCCAATAGAATTACTGTGCATTTGTCATTTTTAATGTTACTATTCTGACATAACTGTAGCTTTGTGTGTGAATGTGTGTATGTGCGCGCGATCCTGAAACGCTTGTCTTCAGGCACAGCAGGCGTGATGATGAATCATAAATGAAGTGTGAGTAACATGAAACCTCACTTGTCAGTGATTCAAATTAAACCCGACTACTCTTTGTATGGGTGTCTATGCAGACAGGAGAGGCCCACTGATCCCGAATCTTTCTGGAAGGTTTTCAGAGAATAGAACAGTACTTCTCGTAGCCAATCAACAGGCTGGATGCCCTAGAGTCCATCCCTCATCGAGTCATATGGCCAGCAGGTATCAAGTTAAAATAAGTGACCACACCAACACCAGAGTTCAAAATAAAAGCATGGAGTTTCAGGAACTGTGAATTCGTCAAACACCCCAAAACAAAATACCTATTAGATCTACAATCACTGGTGCCTGTAACATTTACATCAATTACACTGAAGGCTGATACACTTTCAACACAAATTAGTTGACATTGCCAGAAAATTTCACAGAAACCTGTTGCCTTAAACCGTTTAACTTTTTACAAGGGCTGAAACGGAACGTGTCAAGTTGTATCAACAGAGAAACTTAAATGGGTTAGATAGACAAAATCAGCCTATCATTCTTTTACTCAAAATCACATTAATATTACTAAGTCTACAGCAAAGCCTTTGTTGAATGAATGTGAAATTGTACATCGACTCGTATGTTTGGTCACATAAACACTCACTGCGTACAGAACATCCTCCTGTATTTTCCTGTTTTAACAGTCAGTTTTTAAATGGACTTGAAATTTTTAACAGCTGCAGTTTTAGACACTTTGTACAAAAATATGTTTAAAAGGAGAATGCATGACTCCAAGTCTGTGGTAAGTGTGAGGCCTAGGTACTAACCTTCATCATGGTTTCCAGTGTTTTCATTATTATGAAAAAAATGACTATGACCTTATTTAATGTAGCCTATATAACAGACACAGAAGGAGTTTCCACCATGAATGGGCTCTTCAAAATGCAAATAGAAAAATGGCCCCTCCCTGACAGAAACATACTAAGTTATCTCTGTGTAACATGATCAGTGCATACTTCAGCTGAGAGTGCAAACCACTAATCATATAATTTGGTAATGAGAACCTCTTTTAATGATCACTCAAAGGTTTAATTAAAACCAAACTCCTGCTTTATAGGTTACATAATAATCTGCATCATGTCTCTTTATAACAAAAACACTTATAGCTACTACTTCTCTTTAACTGCTAAAACTCCAAAATGCGCGAGGTCATAACCAAGTGCACTCATTACAGGGTGAGACGCGACATACATTTATTTTGAAGGCTCGACATCCAACTTCCTCCGCAGCCCTGTCTTCTTTGTGACTGACGCTTTACGCTGCGTTCTTCACAAGTTAGACTTTACGCTGCGCGACCGTCCGTTCCAGCGGTTCCAGCTGAACTTCATTTCTGGAGTTGAGATATTTATTCACACACCTGCTGTACAGATTCATTGTAGCCTATTTATTTATTTTTCTAATTGACAAAGATGGGCTGCGCTGGTTTCACCTGCTCCAAACACTCCCTGTGCGCGCTCAACATCCTCTATGTTGTGAGTATCCACAGCAGAATTAAGGCTACCATATGGATTAATGTACCGCCGATTTTATAAATAAAGATGGGGTTTTATTCGTCCTGTGAGTGTGTAGATACAGTGAAGGATGCGTCCTGACGTGAACAACATGAGTCCAGGCACTGCTTTAATCGATTAGCCTTTCTTGGTGCCAGTATCAGATTCTCATCCATCAGGAAAAACAAACGACGGATAACTTTAGAATCTGCTTAAAGGTGGAAGTGTTTGTAGGGTCCATCGTTTAAGGTTTTAAATGTTAGAGTATTTCCACCCATTACATTCATGGCACCGCAGAGAGCGCCCTGTCAGCTCATTGCCGGGTGGCTCATATCACCGCAGGCCTCGACTCCCAGTGCAACATTTAAACTGAAATAGGAAAACGTTGTCCTCAGAAATTCTAGGTCTGATTGAAATCTTACACATGCTCATGTTTTAAGCACTGTTGGTGGTTTACCCTTTAAATTAAGATGTAAAATGATTATAACCAGGATTCCACTTAAACTTTCAGATGTTAATGCGCCCTCTCTCTGTTGTATAGACAGAATTTCTAACCACAAACATATGCTACCCTGTCTAAAATGTGTTTGTCTGATATAATCCAGAGGCCTGTACCACGAAGCCAGTTCAACTTCACCTGGTTCTCCTCGGTTTCTAGCTTCACTGAGCGCAACATCGCCCATCCTGGGTAACCGGGGCCACAAAGCCGTTTATCGACTGGCTCTGTTAAATTTGGGCTTTCCTACCAGGCTATGAGCGCGTTCATGTGACAGAAGCATCAGAAGCAGCATCAGCACCATGAGTGAAGTAGGCCACTGAAAACAATACAAGATGGACTGTGAGCCATCTGGACAGAAGAGTTTACTGCCAGAGTGATGTTACGGAAGGTGAACTGTAGTCACAGAACTAGGATAAGAAACTGTAGAAACAGTTTTCAAATACCAAGGCTAAGAATATACCATACATTATCACAATATTATGTTAAGGGTCTTTTTCAAAGCATTTTTTTCTCCTTTCTCTGATGAAGAAACTGATGTAGAGGAGAGGACACTGGGGAGGAGCCAGGTCACATGTTCATTTATAATCATGGGAAATATTTAACAGTGTTCTTCTAATAAAAGACCAGTATCACAGTCTCCTGGCATTATTCACAGCTGCCATTCGGTCCATAATCAAATAATCTTGTGCATTTAGATACAGTGCTGATCATCATCAAGGCTGCAGATTGTTGGAGATCCAGAAAGCCTGAGACAGCGCAATGACATCACTGCTCTACCGATATCTGTTTAGTTTAGTCGCCTAGGATTCTCAGCAACTGCTACAGCTGCATCGTCGAGAGCATCTTGACCAGCTGCATCACTGTCTGTTATGGCAGCACTACTGCTATGGACCGCAAGCGCCTGCAGAGAGTGGTAAAGACTGTGGAGAAGATCACCAGGACTCCACTGCCCTCTCTGCAGAGCATTTACCACGGCAAGCTGTGTAGGAAAGCTGCCTCCATCCTCAAGGACCCCACCCACCCCCAGCACGGACTGTTCATACCCCTACTCTCCTGTCAGAGGCTCAGAAGGGGGAAATGCAGGACCTCCAGACTGAAAAACTCTTTCTTTCCCTCTGCCAACAGACTCCTAAACAGCTGACCCAGGATCTACCTCATGTAATTTCATATTCGTATATTCACATATTCTGTTTGCACATGCATAATTGCACACTCACTGCTCAGTATTTGCACACTCAACTCTGATGTAGCATACATTCTCTCTACATTATATTGTGTTCTTGTTGTATTTTTATTGTGCTTCTTACTGCATATTTAGATTTGTGTTACTGCTCATCTACTTTATATATCACTTGTATTGTGTGGCATTCATGTGGACGGCAAAGTAAGAATTTCATTGTACAGGGAAACACATTTCCTAACTGTGCATATGACAAATAAACACTTTGACCTTGACCTTTAGTTCTTATCACATTAATGTAGACTCTGACCCTGTCAGGATCCAGTAAGAACAATTGCTTAGGTTCTCCAGTGATCTGACTGGTTGGTGCTCAGGGTGTTGATAGGTTTGGATCTGATCCTCTAAAGCTAGGTTAGTCGTGGACCATATAATAAATGGTGATCTAGCCTGATTAAAGTGAGCCAGCTGTGCGGTATCAGAAAACCTGAGCTGAGCCCAGAGTTAGCTGGATAAGCCACTAATCTCGCTTTGTGGTACAGGCCCCAGAGTGTTTGTTTTGTGTGGAAATTGTGATGAGACTTTGATTCATGAAGCTACTATAGCTAGACGAAATAGGGTAAATACTATTAACCAGGGACAGGAAATAAAGAGATTACCAGAATGGAAATACAAAGTTATACGAGATAGTTTTTCCACATTAGAATCTTTTCAATGTTCTTATTGTTTTGACAGAATTCCATGGAGGCCAGGTACAGTAGTTGTTCAGAATCATCTTAATGACAATCTTATGAAGTTGGCTTTTGGTTGGAAAATTTGCAAGTGTGAATATAATGGAGATCATTTAACTACATTTCTTCACATTATCACGCTATTTATCTCACTCAAATCTCCATACTTCCACTTCCTGTTTGAACAGCCAAAGCCCTGTCCATGTGTGCCTGCTCATCAGCAGTTTTGTCTTGCTTCACCATTGGATGCTGGATCATTTCATTGCAGGACAGTCCTCTCCACCTGATTGATTCCGATGGCACTTGGGCCGCAGTCTGCCAGTCCGTCCTGCTCTTCTTGCCTCTCATGAACCGGTCTCCACCCAAGAGACTAGGTGCTGAGGGACTCCTGGCAGGGTCACTCGCTCATGCCCACACTGCAGCCATGCAGGCTGCTGGTATTCTCCTGGCAGGGGTCACAACTACAGTCTCTCGTTTTGCGCATTTGGGCTGATTTTGTTTCCTCTTCTTTTCCTCTGCTGACTTGTCTCCCGGTCAGCAGGCTGCCTGTTCTCTTCCCCGTCTGTTTCTTCCTTTTCTTCTTTTGACAGCGGGCTGCCCCCTATTCTGTCGACCGCCTACTCTGGCACTGGACCCCTCCCCACCTGCCCTTCTTGGCAGCTCCCTCGCTAATTCTGGGGACTTGTAGAGCACAAAAAGGTTTGCTGATTCATGCCTCTTTTTCTTATGTTCAAGCTTATATTCTCTCTCCACTCACCCCAATCAGTCGAGGCAGAAGCCCGCCCACCAAGAGCCGGGGTCTGTCGGAGGTTTCTTCCATTAAAGGGAGTTTTTCCTCCCCACTGTCGCCAAGTGCTTGCTCAAGGGGGATTTGTTGGGTTTTCCCTCTGTAATAATAGTGACAGTAAGGTCTAGACTTTAGTTTGTAAAGTATCATGAGATGACTTTTGTTGTCATTTGGTGCTATACAAATAAAATTTGAATAGGGTTAGGTCCACCGTTTTTTTTTTCCTGAGGTCTTGGCCAATTTCCCCAATGATGTCAAGCAAAGAGGGCCCGAGTTTGAAGATAGGCCTTAATGACAATTATTTTCTGGAATTTTCCAGTCTGTATAAAGCAACAGTCATCTGAGTATGTAAACCTCAGACGCACTGGAATTGTGATGTATTGAATCAAGTGAAATAATTTATCTGTAAACAACGGTGGGAAATATGTCATGCATAAAGTACACATCCTAACAGACTTACCAAATTGAGAGTTTGTAACATGTCTGTGGCGTGGTTTAAAAAAAAAAAAGAAGCTCAAATTCAACCCGTGTGTGTGTGTGTGTGTGTGTGTGTGTGTGTGTGTGTGTGTGTAAACTTCTGACTCAAGTTGTGTGCTGCTGTATCTGCTTACACTAGTAAATCATAAGAGGGGTTATACAGGCCTATTTGTAATAAATGAAATATACTTTTTACACCACTACATTCATCTGACAGCTCTAGTTGCTCATGACATTGCAGCATAAGATATTACATAGAATTAATGGATTGGTGTGCGGTTCTAAGTTAATTTTGCTATTATCACACAATGTATTATGAATTACATTTCCTGTATGTATGCATTACAGACTCTTAAACAGTACTTCTAGCATCTGTCTGCATGTCTGCCCTGCAGATGGTGAGTCTGTTGATGATTGGCATTGCAGCATGGGGGAAGTGGTTTGGCCTGGTTTCCAGTTTCCAAGTGGTAGGAGGCGTCATTGGTGTGGGGGTCTTCCTCTTCTTTGTGGCCCTGGCCGGTCTCATCGGAGCCATGAAACATCACCAGGTCCTGCTCTTCTTTGTATCCTTCATGCTGCTCATGATGTTATTTCTGCTGTTTCACAGCTTATATAGGACGGTATAAATGTTTGAAACCATTTCTGATATTACATGTCAGGTGGTTAAACTGGATCAGTATTTAAAAGGGAATCCATTATTACATAAAAAAAGAAAAAGCACTGATACCATTTCTTTTGTCTGTTTTTTGGTCACTTAAAGCAGCTATGTAGTGCTTCAGTGCTGTGAACTCTGTTATAAGTTCTGTCTTTAAACCAGAGGGACCCATGGAAAGCCTAGAACAAAACAGTTTGATCATTAAAAAAAAAAAAAAAAAAAAAATTGCTCCTTCATATTTGTCGCTATTGGAAAACATTTTCCATTTTGGAATCTTGTAGGAATGAGGACTTTTCCACTGGTCAGTAGTTGGGCTGGTGACAACTTTCCATCTGACTCTCCAGAGCAGGTTCGCTGTGCATCTCAAGTTACCACGCTGATCTAGCCAAATTAAACATCCGGAATATAACCACTAGGACAGGACCCAAAATGCAGACCCAGACAAGAGTCTTAGGAAATAAACAGTTTAATAAAATTAGAACAAATAAAACAGCAACCTAATGCTCAACCTGACAGCTTAAACCTATGGGCATGGGGGAATGGAACACCAAATCAGTCAGGGAGCGGTACAAACGATAGCAACGAGGGAACAATTAACAAGTCCGTGGAGGCGACAGGTGAAATGTCCAAACTTATAGGTGGAGACAGTCTCAATTAGCCAGGAGAGAGGGTAGGGCGCTGAGCACAGGAGAAACAAATCCAGGAACTGGTGACAAAACAGTCAGATAGTGTGTAGACAAACAGCTCTACAAAACAGGCAAAGGCGTAAGAACCAGGGGCGGAAAGACAGCGAAATGGATCTCAGGTGTACACTTGAGAGGACCAGGTACAGAATCCAGGATGATGAACAGCAAGTGACTGAGAAAAAGGCAGGCAAATATAAGGGCTGATGACTAAACTCAACCGATGGCTCTAACCATCGGGGGGGTTTGGTGTCTTACCCACGGACACTTCGACACGTGGACTGCTGGCACCGAGAGTCGAACCTCCAAACTTGTGGTTGGGAGACGACTGCTCTACCCACCGCACCACGGTCACCGCCCCCAGAAAAGGACAGTTCACTACCTTTTTTATTTTCTTTATTTCTAAGAGGGATTTGAGAAGATTATTCTAAATCTCATCTTAAATACATAGCCGGGCGAGTTGTTTCTCCTTACATCCAGTCTTAGTACTAGGGCTTACCACATCCTGACTCCACCTTTGTTATATACATAGGAGATTATTATGACTCTTCTCATGTCACTCTCAGAAACAAAGAGCATTTCCCCAAATGCTGAAATGCTCATTCCCTGATAGCTGCAGTATACGGTGGCCATGATTATAGTTTCAACTTTGTAGTTCTGTTGCATGTATTTCAGTATAATGCAAGTACGATTTTAGGCTTTCAGTGTAACCATCACAGAACATTTCACAAATGTGAACCACAATGTACAAAATCTGTTTAACTTCGAGGAAATAAAATATAGCGGTTTTGCATAGTGTGCTGAGACAGTCATACTACCTGATATGCTTTGAAGTTTGTTTGCTGATTTATGTTGTGAACCTAAGTATCTGGAATTAGAAATACTAAAGTTCTGAAACCGATGTGACTCTCAGTAACAAGAGTGGGCAGTATTTACGTACATGGACAGAAAGATATATTATAGTACATGTGTCTGTAAATTATGGAAAGGCTGGGGTTGGTAATGAATTTTCATGTCATGTTTATGAGTCTTAAGCTGTTTTCACATCATGCTCTCTTCCAGTCCTACAAGCTGCAGACATGATTCTAGTACAGTGGTTTAGACTGGTGTGTGCTTGTTGTTCCTTGATAGTGGAGCTCAGTACATGATCATCCTGTTCATGGTGTTTATTGTGCAGTTCTCTGTTTCCTGCGCCTGTCTGGCTATCAACAGAGAGCAACGGGTAAGATCAAAATCTTCTTTTCCTTTAGAAACTTTAATTGGGACAATTATGTTAGTTTTTAGAATTACAGTCCTGTGCAAAGGTCTGCCAGTGGATAGAACTTGGGCTGATGCAGTAATTTGTCTTGGTCAGTGCAGTCACCAATACAGCAGGTCCCATGTTTACTTGCAGAGAGGGCAGTGCTATGCTAATGTAACTCCTTAAATAGAAAAGGGAGCCAAATCTAAACAGCTTGCTGAAGCATGTTTTCTTACATAGACAGCCACCAAGTAACTGGGTTGTCTGACTTAACATTTTGTGGCTCAGTAGGCACAACCAACATCCAGATTTATGTGCACAAACACTGAAAAAGTCAGTTTTTCCTATTTCCACTTTAAGGTCAGACCTGGACTCAGGATGTTGTTAGCCAAGCTGTGGTTTAAGAGTGAAAACAGGGACATTGCTAAGCATGGCTAAGTCCTAATTTACAAACATTGAAACTGTGAGTTTTTCATAACATGTTGCCTTTAACAAGGTTAAAAATATTTCTTGGTCTATTTTGTTGTTTGATTCTGTGTGTTTACTTAGGTGCATTGCTAACCAGCCAACTTGAACAACTGCTGTTATGGTTTTTTTCAACTGAACAGTGAATTTTCACCTCACATTATTTGGTCACACACATTTAGACACTAAATAGTTTGCAATCAATGTTTATTGGCCCAAATAGTAAGTACCAACCAGGGATGTATTAAGGAAAGCTGGATCCCTGGACCATTTGAATGAAAACTTCTCTTGTGGTGCATGAACCATTATTTCCCTGCAGGCCTCACCTGTACACTTCTGCTTGGCTCATAGACTTTACATTGTAATGTCATTACAGAAATAAAAGTCACGTTTTACAAAAACGTCCATAGATTAAATAAAGAGTGATAAATGGGTTTGCAGACTGAGGTGTCATGTCAATGATTTTAAAACGTGTCTTTTAATCATTGTGGTCTATGGAGGAAATACCTTTGGGCCAGGGGGGATTTTCCATTGTAATACCATAGTTGGCCACTGGGGGAAATGGGTTGAAATGCTGGAGATCCTGTGTCCAGCTCTCGTAATAAGTTTGTTATTCTCCTTCAGATTGCGCGCCTCTTTTTTCTTACCTCCATACAGAAAGGGCCTTATTGATTGTGAATGTGGTATAAGAAGCCATAGAACGTTTTCCTCTCCTTTTCATTAAGGTCTCAGATCAATGATGCATTAGCCAGTCACCACTAAAGAAATGAATGTGAACAGCTAAACGCAGACAAAACCTCAGCAGCCTCAGGGGACATCAGCCATTACCACTAATTCAGCACAGCTCATTGGCGATGGTGAATATCATGTTCCCTTCTTGGAAAGTGCTTGTGTTTGTGGTGTTACTCATGAAGGGACTGCTGTTCTGGTAGACATTTTGATGACATATTAGGCACTTCTTGGCTTCTGCAAACAGTTACAAGACAGACTGTGCAGACTTTTCTAATGCTACTGATGAAAATCAAATGTTGCAGTCAAGTAGCAGGACTTCCCAGGAAATTATCATACTCAGGGCCCATATTTATTAATCTTCCCATCCACATATGTTTAAGAATATTCTGCTTTGAATAATAATGTGTCTGAAATGTTATTGCCAGGGCAACACGGTGGTGCAGTGGTTAGCACTGTCCTCCCTGACATACCTCGTCTACCAACAGCAGAATGTCTGCAGCAGTTTCCTCTTATTTCAGTATTATTGTTATTATACCATCTATAATGTTTGGGACAAATTTATAGAAATTGTTGTCCCATTTCTTCTATACTCCACAATTTTAAAAAACTACATGTGGCTATAGTGCACATTCTCAGATTTTATTAAACCGTATTTTGGTTTTAGCATATAGTAGAAATTACAGCCATGTTTATATAAAGCCATACCATCTGATACAAGACTCCTTGTTCTTCTTGTCTCTGAACATAGTTCTTCATGACTCTGGGCCTATTGTCATGTTGTGGAACAACAATAATCTCCAATAATATCCTGGAATCTTCTCTTAGCAATAAATAAATGCATCAAAAACACTGTCAATGTCAAAATGCTGTCAAGCAAACAGCAATGCTTCTTCTTGCCCCTGTGTGTGCACCCTGCAGGATCACCTACTGGAAGTGGGCTGGAATAACTCTCGGAGCACTCAGAGGGATGTGCAGAAGAGTCTCAACTGCTGTGGCTTCAAACAGGTGGACCCCAGCAGCTCCTGTGATGCTGTGAGTTTGAATTGGGGCTCATTATGAAATGTTTCCTGACCTCTGTTACATTCCCGCACAATAAAATAGATTTATGGTTTCTCCATTGTTAGTATTTAATCATTTGAAGAAAGGTAGTAAAACTCTATGTGAAATTACAAAAGCCTCCAACCATTTGCTCGACTTATAAGTACTGAGTCTCTTGTTCTCCTGCAGGCCTGTTTTCCAAACCACTCCTGTTCGCCCTGTGCAGATAAGATCCAGGAACTTGGGGAGGTTTTGCACTTTGTAGGAGGAATCAGCTTCTTTTTCAGCTTCAGTGAGGTGAGCTACAACAGATACCATGCTGTAATAGGTTGTAAGATTAAGGCCCAATTCCAGCTCACAGACTCATGGACTTTGAGGCACTCTCTCACCTTCATTTTGAGCCCTTTATCCCCACTTTCAAATATGTATTTTCTTTTTTGTTTAATAATGCCATTTTGATAAAAACATGTATTAAATTGATTAGGTAAGCTAAGTGGCAGTTGCCTCTCATCTGCTTTGTAAGGCAAGAGCCTGAACCACGTACATACCAGCCAGTCGGTCCCTGAAGTGTCTTGGCTGTGAGGAAAGTAAAAACATCAAATAAAATGTTCTAAACCCACGACAGTTAGAACTATGGTGTCATTTTGGCGTTGTCATGGTGATGGGACAGCCTCAGTCACAAAGTGTTGTCCCATTCCTGTTTACAGTTTCCAGGCCTTGCAGACTTTTGCACTCAATGACTTACAGGTGATGTAAGTCTGAGGGTTCTGGACTGACGACCTCAGGGAGGACAATGAGATTCAGCCTCACATTAACAGTATTAATTAATAGTATTAGTACTAGTAGTAGTAGCTCTTATTGCAGTAACAGTAGTAAGATCAGCAATAACAGCAGATAGTTGCAGCAGGAGTTGTAGAGGTCACTGATTACATCACAACCAACTTCACCACAGAGGAGTAAATAAGGGTCCCCAGCCCAAAGTGACACAGTCCTACACTGACCTGAACATCTGAGACATCGGGGTTGAAAAGAAAAGAGAAAAACTAACTAGAGCAGGATGACATGCACCAAAACAGACTGTCCACTGGATGCGGGCCACTGAGCTAACAGTGGCATTCACCTTCAGTCCAGGATCGCTTCCCTGTTAGTAATTCTAGTCATAGCAGCAGTAGTACCAGTAGTAGAAGAAGTTTAGTCAATAAGCCCCCTGTTCAGAGCCAAACCAGTCTCTCAGTACTTTGACTTCTCTACCCCAGTCACTGAGCTCCAGTCATACTGGTTCCTACTGACTTGAACTGTTAAAAATAACCACTAAGGTTCAGGAGTTTCCTTAAACACTTAGCTTACTGTAGTTTCTATCAACCAAACAGAAGAAATAGTGCTTTGTTTGGGGCCAGTACTAGATTAATCCATAGGTGGTGCTTTAGGGAGCATTCGGGGCTGCAGGATGGTGGATGTGGGACTGAGTCAAAATAAACGACAATGCATTCGTGGTAATGAAAGAACATGTCACCCAGCACGGCAGTGTGGTTCACTGATGTGTGTTTAATAGTTTTTGAACATCGGTGGAGCTCTGTGGCACATGTGTTGCTAAAAGGGGAATATAACACACTGCCAGGCTCATTCTTTCACACAGATTTAACAGGGGTTACTGATATGTGTGCTGTAGTGTCTGACTGCTACTTAATGACTGTGTCCTTGTGTCAGATTCTGGGTGTTTGGCTCACGTATCACTACAGGAATCAGAAGGATCCCAGAGCAAATCCCAGTGCTTTCCTGTGAGACAGCACTAGCTTCAGCCCCTTGACTCTGTCACTTCCTCACCTCTGTGGACTCGCTTTGACTGATCTGTGTGTTTCAGCCAATTGCTGCTGATACAGTGTGTTATGAAAGCCAGTTGTGTGAAGGAATAGTGCAGTGCCTTCAGCATGGCAGCTCTACAAAAGAAGCGTCTCACACTAAACATAAACTTTTAGTACGGTCAGCACATGTGTGCAAAAGAGAGGGAATACTGTCTACAGCAGTTTGTTGAGAATCCCAGAAGTATTTCTACACCCTGCCTGATGCTGACCTTGAACACTGACTCTTTCTTTTTGTTGGTTTGTTCGATAAAACAGCTGATCCCACTGAACACACTCTGCGTACTGATTTGACAGACTATTTGACTATGCATGAAAGTATAAATACTGTGTGAGGACGATATATGTTTTCTTGTGTGTGTGTGTGCGTCTCACTGGTTTGCCTAGCTGTGTGCTGTGTATTTGGCCTTTTGCATGACTCTTCTGCAAACATAAACCACAGTATGAGAACTGCAATGATGACTGTAAACCACCTGTCTCAGCCTTTGTACTGTAAACCACAATAAAACACTAAGAAAGAAAAAACTCCCACTTCTCTGGTTTTGTTGTGTGGATGTTGTTCAGCAGCATTCACACTGTTGTTATCCTACATCCATAAACATCTGGCCATTTTTTCTTCTGCACATTTTTGCAACTAGTAGCTAACTGCTTCTGCATAGTATCAGCTAGAAAAACCATTAAAATATGTAAATGTTCAGCTCTTTGAGGAAATTATTGCTTGTACTAAACTTTTTTCTACCTTTTATACTTTTTGAAAATATTTAGCTTAAAAAAATCCCATTGAAATGAATAGAATGACTGTTCAAATCTTCAACTTTCTTTTCTTTCGACCTTAACTAGTTAAGCAAACATTCAGACACCCACTGCCTGTATCCTTCAGCTTTTAAAACATTTTCTGCCTCTCTTCTATCAACCGTGAGCTTTCACAAACAAACCAGGACAAATTAGGAAAATTCTCCAGGAGAATAAAAAGGGTTACAGTTAATGAATAATGTCTCTAGGTCCACATTACATGTCCTGTCCAGCACTGTAATGTCCCTACACCAACCTGCATTAATGTAAAAACAGATGCCGCCTCCTCTCTTTTTTCCAGATAGCTCCTTCACACGGTCTGCTCTGTAGGTCTGAAATCCCGGCAGCTGAACAGCCTCATCAGGGATCAAGTCATTTAGCAACGTTTCCACAAAGCACAATGACGCAGAATGTAAAAAAATCAGAGTTAGTCTAATTGACAGAGTCCATCCATTTTGTTAGGTAGGGAACGGAGATTAGCTAGATGTATGGCCAGGAAGTGGCATTCAGTACACCAGGTGTCATAGCCTTACGAGGGCACTGGCCCACTTCTCACTCCAGTGTCTCCTCCAAGTTCCAAAAACAGCTGCTGCTCCACAATTTGTCCAAACAGCTTCTGCTAGCCATGAAAACATGTCCATGGTGAGCTGTTGGATGTTCAGAAGCTTGCCCCTGGTTAAAGTAATCCGGGCAGGGTCACAGAAAACCAATAACAATAAAAGCACACGACTGAGGCAGCCGTGGTCGGCGCCATGCAGATACATTTGTCAGGACTCAGGAAACAGACTTGTTATTGTGACAGGATATGATGTTTTTGAGTGTGGTGACCAAAACCACAGAGAATGGCATGTCATTCTCTCACTGAGTTTCATCATAAGACTCAGAAATTCTCATTCAAGTAGAGATTAGGGCTGCATGGAATTTGCAATAAATCCTAGGTATTATGGAGTATCGTCACAAATGGGTATTAGTGTTGTTGAAGCCTTCTTGCACCAATAGTGATGAGATTGTTTTGATAGGACCTGTAATTTTCCTTCTGTTGTCTATTTTGTGAGCTGGGGTACTTCTCATTACCTTAAAATGTCAGTCTCATTTCCTTCCTTTGTGTCTTATCCTTGTCCCTTCAGTGTAAAACATGCAGGAAGTGCATGAAAAGATGCAAGGAGGGAGAAATCAAGAAAACATGGTTTTAGACAAATAAGACAACCATTCTAATGACTGCACAGCAGGATCGGCTGTCAGGCTGCAGGTGTGACTGCTGCTAGAGCAGAGATGTCCTTAAGGATGAGAAAGGTGGCTGTAAAATATTGTATCTGTGCAGGTTTCCTCTTAAATACTTTGACAAGATCTGCACATTCAATAAAAACCTGTATTTTACATTTACATTGTGACAGGATCCATCAAAGCACAGTTGATTATTGTGTTACTGCAAGCACAGAGTCCTGATCAGCCAGCTAGTGCTGCACTATTTCTTTGTGGGGTTCATTACACAAAACACTGGTCTCAGTGGAGCCTCAGTAACCTAACAACAAGAAAATGCTTTTAACACTGGAAGTGTGGACCCACCCATCCAGGATGTTAAACACATGCGTACACACAATGCTACTCACACAGCAGGGATAGATACCTCACAGACTCATTTAAATAAAAATCATGTTCACAGTTTAACTCGGATACTAAATATGTCGGCTCCTTTAAACCTGATCGTCAGCTCAAAATGAGTCAAAAGTGCAACAGTTTATTCCCACCAATAATAGATGAACAAGAAATCTATTACTGCTTCCTAGTGTAGCCAGCGGATGTGACCGGGCCAATGTAACCCAGACACTAAGTTTTGGTAAATCTCAATCCCAATGAATATTGTCCCTCCTGTTTCAAGAGGTCAGTTTCATACAGATTCAACAAGTACTGGGTCACCACACTCTCAGGAAAGTCAGCAAAATACAGAGATATTAGTTTTAGGAGGCGACAGTGCAGTGGGTAGAGCAGTTGTCTCCCAACCAGAAGGTTAAAGGTTCAAATCTCAGTGCCTGCAGTCCACGTGTGAAAGTGTCCTTGGGCAAGACACTGCTGTGCTGTAAACCTCATCCTACCTGACTCGTGGAGCTCTCTCACATCTACTTCAAAATAGCAGGCTCTATACTGACACAGAAGACTTGTTTCCTTCGTTTTGTCCAACCCTTTAAAATACTCATTATCTAGTATAGTAGCACAACAAGTAATGATAGCATTAATAGCATGAGTACTTCTGTACTGAAATATCATACTTTTTTAGCATGAGTATTATTCATGTCTGCCAAATAAGCACACTATGCACCTTGTATGAATGTACCATATTTATTCAAAAAGCATTCTGGATATACAGCAATAATAACAAAGGTAAGAATCATGAAAGAACTTCAAGGGTGAAACATTTTAAGCAAAGATGAAGAGAAGAAACATTCCAGTGCTTAGTTTTCCAAGTGTAAACTGGTAGTGACAGCATGTTATTGGCATCTGAGGTGACAATAAACTCTGGATCAGGTCACACGTCACGCATGTGTGTGATGCTCACAGCTCAGACTTCAGGAGCTTCTTGGCTTTCTTCATGTTGCTTTTCACTGAAGAAGGAGAAAGAAACATTCACATTTAGTCAGTCTGTTCCACAGACACTGGCACAGCTGGCAGAGGACAGATCTGTTCAAGCTTCACAGCGTGTTAGCACTTGTACTTACAGAGTTGGAGGTCACCTGGTTCATAGGTATACATGCGGTTGCTGTAGCGACTAGTGATGTCAGCTCTCACGGTCATTGTGGGGTCTGAGGAGATATTATTAGTATTAGGTGAGTAAAGTCTTCAGTGCAGGTGCTATCTTAGAGCAGGCAGGAGTTTGCTGAACTGCAAGTGACACCACTGTCAGCAAGTTAACTTTGTTATACACGGTGTGTACTTGGAAAATAAACATGTCTCTGAGTATTTTAAAAACCAAGGGCCGGCTGTGGCTCAGGAGGTAGAGTCCAAATGTCCCGATGATGGCATTAGTGTGTGAATGTGAGTGTGAATGGCCAAAAAGTGTGAAAGTGCTTTGCGTGTGCTGCAATGCAGAAAAAAGCGTCGTACAAGTGTAAGACCGTTTACCACAGCCAGTAATATGTGCCTGATTTAAAACTGCATGGACACATCCATCTGTTTGTGGGTCAAGAAGCAGTTTAAATAATAACTATTAACTTTTGCCATCCTTATCCAGATGTTAAGTTGAGCATCTAAGTTATAAAACACACTCGTGTTCAGTAGAATCCACTCAGGGGTTTTGCTGCTACGGCCAGGAGTTTAGGAATCTTTGCTAATGAGAGGAAAATGTAGCTGTTAGCCTGTGCTATGTTTTAGCATTTAAAATGATTCTGCAATAGTCACTTGTGGCCACTTTTCAGTATTCTGTTACATCCTCGGGTACATAAATGTGTTTGCTTGTAGTTGCACATACAGTTTGTATGCATGACTGGCCAAATACTTTACTAATTAAGTACACTTACTCAAGTACTGTACTTAATGTACAAATATGACAGCTGTTATCTATAGAGCATAATTTTACATATCACTTCTTTTGAGATTGTACTTTTACTTCTGTGACATTTTCAAAGCAAAACTTTACTCGTAATTTAGCATGTTTAAATTGCAGTATTACTTAGGTAATGAACTGAAATACTAAGTCCTTGACTGGATACTGTACTCTATTGCAACATTTTAGTTTTTTTGACTGAATGCCAACATTTATTTGTCCCCAAAAGGAAAATTACATTATAGATGAAGTGCTGAATAAAGACTCTTGCAGGTCATAGCGTTGTGCACTCTCATAATGTACTAAAACCGAGTAATGTAGTAGGCCTGTTTGCTATCACAGGAAACAACGTGCTATTTTGAAGGTAGGTCATCTAACCTATAACAGGAATATGTAATAGTTGTGTCACAAACTGTGGCTCTTACCCACAAAAAGGAACCTGGGAACGTACTTTCCATCAGGAGAGAGATTTTTATCTACGGTTTCATACTGTAAGGGAGAAGAAATGCATTTTATCAAACATCAACATCCAAATCTGAAGTAAACCATCTTGGAATTCAGAGTTTTTAAAGGTTCTTAAAGCAGCTCATTGGTATGGCAGAACAGTTTTATTTGGCATGAGAGATCAGGGGCTCAGTCTGAAAAAAGTGCTGTTGCTCATTTCCATGCAATCACAATTTTGCTACAGCTGAATGACAGTGTGATGATATTTGGTGAACAGTTTGCTTATGGTGCAGTATTGTACACCTTAAAACCTTTGTAGCCTGGCAGCCTGAAAAGTCCTGTGACTTACCACCAAATTCAGGACGATAAAGTCCTCATCGAGAATTTTCTGGATCTCATCGTCTTCAGCAAAAACTTTCTTCAGCGCTGCAGGAAAAAGAGCTTTTTAATTCTTCAACTCAATACAGCATTTTATTAATTAGCACATGATCCTGGTGTAGGACGCCACAAGGATGTGTGGGGCGGCGTCACACGTGAGCAAACAAATGCCTACTTCAGCTTCAAACAGGTTTAGCTCTTCATTCAACAGAACATTTCTTCTCTGCATGAGCAACTTAATAGTTGGAATAATTGCAGCTAGACATTGTCCAGGGGTTCGACTTACCCTGGCTGTGGGGGCAGTCTTCCAGGTGAAAGAGGACCATCAGAGGCTTGTTTCTAAAAGGCAAATGAGCGTCACTGACATTCAGTCATAAGCTTCAGTGAACAGTGTCAGTGTTAAACCAGTATTTTGATGTCAATGTTAAAATGATTTCTTACTTTGACCTGGACCAGTAAAGACCCTCCTCATAGGTCTGAGCCCAAATCAGCTGATCACCCCATCCTGGACAGACACAGACACCGTTAAAGAACAAGCTCTATAATTCTTATATTATTCTTTAGTCTCAGTCATTCAGCTTTAGAGGGACAAATTATTGTCACAGACCTCTGGACAGAGTCTGAGGGATCCTCTTGCCAGACTTTGGGATGTATTTCCCAAAGGTAGAAGACACAGCCACCAGGACCAGAAGTACAGAGAACATGGCTTTGATCATCTTCATAGGCTTACTGCAACAGGAGGAACAGACAAAACCGGGAAACTAATCACACATCTTGACCTTATTGCACTGTTCAAGGAAGAAACAGTTGCCTATGGAAATGACATCATGTTTGTCAGGAATGAAAAAAGCTTCAACTTTCTAAGTCTCCCAGTGGTTCCTATTACAGGAAAGCCTGTATTTATTTTTCCAAAGATTGTTTTCTCTGATTGACTAACTGAACCTTAAGATAAGCTAAGCATTTTTCCAACACAAGTACTTGACTGTAAAGAGCATTTTAGACTGAAGTGAAAGTAAAGATGCTTTAAAAATGAACTGCTCTCCAGTAAACCTGCTGCTGCTTGCTGTAAGGAAGTTAAGGGCAGGCTCTTGTATCTTACCCGTTCCCGACTAGTCCGGTGAGAATGCAGGTGGATCGATGCGCCGTAGGCTACCTCCACTCTCACCTGTCTCCTATTTAAGGATTAGCTCCCCTGCGGGCGCGCCCTGTGCCCATCCCCCACGCGTCTTCTCTGCCGGAATGCCACGGTGACTCGGAACTTCCTAAACGGGTTTGTTTGCGAACCAAACTCCCCTGAGGAGATGTTTAATTGTATGTTTCCGTGTATATTGCTAAAGACGTCCTGCTGTAACATCACGATTGTAAACATTTTAAGTTATGACGGAAATAAACCTTAAAGTCGGCATATAAACAGCCATAATTAGTGCCTATTGTAAGTAATACAATTTGCAATTTTTAATAATAGGAACAAAATCTAAATGATTTGTATCATTCATAAATGGTGTTCATGTACGCTGTGTAATCCATAGTTATTGTATCGGAAGATTGTAATGTGGTGTAACCTATGTGGCTTATCACTGATGGAAACTCTCAAATTATTGGAATTTAACAGGGAATTTGCAGGAAACTCTGCACACAACGGGTAGAATCCGTTGTAGAAGAGACACAGGTTTGCACACCTTTGCATGGGTTTCTGTTCTGTTAATCATTAACACCGCCTTACATGGTGCGGTTTGGACACTGTCCAGTTGGACGCAGACGTTGCATGCGGTGAATCGGGATGCTTGGCGTGGGTCCAAGGACAAGTCACCCTAACGCTGAGAAATGCCAGCACAGGCTGCATGATGATCGGGCTTTACGTGATTGGCTCAAGGCACTATTGTCCAAGTGAACCTGTCTTTCCTACAAAGTCAACATATTCATTAAGTCATGAAGATGAACACTGAATGATGTTTGAGCTCTAGGTGACACAACCACAGCCATGAGCAGTAAAACATGACGAGCTACAGAGCCATCACAGGAAACCTTTATGAGTTACTGACTGAAATCAGTGGATTCCTCTATCCCTTTAGACAGACTGAGCCTTTCACATTATAAAACATGTTTGGAAAAAGCATCTAAGGTTTGCTCTATGAACAAATTCACATTATAACGTGTGGTGTGTTACCTATTCTGCCTGAGCTTTAACAGTATAATGCAGCAGGGAGTTCACTGTCACCTGGTTGCTATCAATGGCAGCTTTGTTCAGTCCCAGCCTGGTCTGGGCCTCCTGACAACCAGTCTGTCTCTCCATCCTTTCCCTGTATCCTGGAACAGCAACTCCACACACACTCAGCCCGTACCGCTGCCTTAATGGTGTAGCATGTCCTCTCCTGAGTGCCATCAACTTGTATTCATCATTGCATTCTAATAATTCTCTTCTAGTATATTTTAAAAGCTGTGTTTGTGTAGCATTTTAACAAGATTCCAATTCTTTGCAAGGAATAGAAAAATGAAAGCAAAAAATGAAATCATGAAACACAATGACCTGCGATGGGCTGGCAACCTGTCCAGGGTGTACCCCGCCTTTCGCCCGCAGCTGGCTGGGATTGGCTCCAGCCCCCCGTGACCCCGTTTGGGACTAAGCGGTTTGGAAAATGGATGGATGGATGGATGGAAACACAATGATAGCAAAATCAGATTAAAAGCAGAAAAAGGCACGTTTTAACCTTTCTGTTATAAACTTTTGCATTTGTATTGCATAACTATAATATTTAACATTTTCTGGTCAAATGTAAATGATTCACATTTGTGTTTTTTCTTGTTTAGTTGGTCAGATACATGGCATCACTTCAGAAAGGACATCTGTTATTAAGGCTTTGTTTAATGGTTTTATTAATGGCTAATAACAATTATTTATAAGCCATTAATAGAAAGATAATTTTTCATTCCAGTTTTATTTGTATAGCACCAGTTCACAACAACATCATCACAGGAAACTTTACAAACTAATGTCTAGACCTTATAGTATTATAGAGAAAAAAGTGTGAGTGCAACAGGGTGGAAGTCATTCAGGCTTGAAGCAGCAGGATTCTTTGGCACCACCAAAGTGGATGCTGTTTGAAAGCACATGGCCTGGGGTAGCGTCAGGGCTGCCAGCCTTCTGTGCATCCACCCTCCTGAGTGTGCAGTAGAAATCTGTGGTGGAGAGTGTGCAGGATTGGTTGTCTAGAGACAGCAGTTTGGCAGGTTCATTGTTGTCCCTATCAAAGCAAGTGGTCCAAGCCATCGTTTGATGGAAGCTGCATTATGAGTTTGTAATCTGTGATGGCTTTAATGACTTGCCACATACACCAGGGGTCAGATCTTAAGTCTGAAGTTTGTGTTTGGCTGAACATGTTCCGAATGCTCTGGCTGTGCTGTAGCTTCCATGTCACTGGATCTGAAAGCAGTATCCAGTGCTTTCAGAACTAGGTGAGCTACACTGTTCTTCCAGAGCTCTTGGTTAGGGAAAGTTCTTGTTTGTGTTTGACTGGCAACATGTGGTCAAGAATGTAGTCTGTGAAAATGGTGATGTGCATGTGGGGGTGTCACCGGTGGCAGACAATCCCTAGTCTGTAGGTTCAGACTATGTTAAAACCTGTCGTCTCAGTGAGTTTCACATATTGGATGAGTAGTGTGTACACAGGGGAGCTGGAACAAAGAGTACATAGCACATAGTAAAACAAACTAACCTATGAGCCTTTCTTCAAATGAGGAGTGCACTGGTACTTTTTAAATTCAGGAACCTAAGAACCAGAAAACATTTAAACACTAAGTGAGTAACCATTCATTCCCTTTGGCAGATAGCACAGCTTGTGACGGGTCATAACCAGCTACCGTATGAGCCTTTCTATTTTTTATTTAGGAAATTTTACCCATTTTTTAAATCTGTCATACACACACACACAGCTGGAGCTTCAACCTAAGTAATCCTGGTGCCCCCTTGAATAAAAGCATTGTTTCCAAATCAGGCATAATACATTTGATGTAAACATTTCCTCTTCTGCCTTTTAACCTTCATAAATGAACATCTCAAGACGTCCTTGTGGGTGAAAGCTACAAACATAAAATTGGTTCTTGTTGCTGCTGTTGTTGGTCTAAACAGCTGAAAATTATACATCTCAGAGCAATTCAGAGCATTTTAATTATTTCAAAAAAGTTTTAAAGATTTGCAACTTCCAGTATTTCAGACAAACACTGCTTGCCAGCATCCAGTGGGAAGATTTCACAGGTCATCAAGCTGGAGTCAGCGGTCAGAAAGATGAGGAAGGGCACTGACATCCAACACTAGAGTCCGTCGTAGAACAATGACCAGAGGAGAGTCCATCTTCTCTCATGTACAACCACTTCTGACCACGTGCCTGAAATGTCATAGTGAGGCCACTTGATGCCAAACATACTTGAGGGGCTTTCGCACATCACACAGTGTTTATCAGTGGCTGGAGATGGTTCAGAGAGCTTGTTGTCAGGGTAATATGTTGTGTTTCTGCAATCACATGGAAATACTGTTCATGTCTAGGGAGCATTTGCCCTGTGTCCTGCTTTTATTTAATTTAGTGATTTTATATTACTGTTTTATTCCTCAGTAAACTTACTTAGCTTCTTCTGTTAAAGTGCTGAATAAGTCCAATATCCAAAAGTACTGAATAAAATGAGTGTTTCTGATGCTATGCGGGCTGTGATGTGATGTTGGCTTGTCACCAGGATGTGGGAGCAGTTTAGTGCTGATGTGTCCTTAATGCCTGCTCTCTGTACCGCTTGGCACTCAGTGTTTCTCTCTGTTACTGTGTGTTGTCACAGCACCATGGTCAATATTTGAACTAAAGGGCAGGGTTAAAGGCCACTCCTATTAACACTTCACATTCACCAACTGAACAGCCCTGCCCTGATAACACGGATCTGACACTGACTCTCTCCAAATGCACACACACACACACACACACACACACACACACACACACACACACACACAGAGCTATTGGTAGACCCACTTGAATAGTATGCAAATACCTTGTTTAAAGTGAAGCACAAAGCGACAGTTCACAAGCACCTGAACTCAACTCGAGTATTTCACTAAACACATCTCTCCATCACCTTTCACTTTACATTATTTTAGTTAATTAGGGCAACTTTCCTCTTTTGAATCTTTCATTTATGCTTTTGTGATGCAGCAAAAATCAGTTTGTGCACAAAAGAAAGAAAAAAAAAAGAATGTAGTTAAAACTAGAGAAATGCATTTCTTGTCAAAAATGCGTGTGGATGCTATGTGCTGAAGGATCGCCCTGAAAATGCTGAACATTTTGACACCTGAAAGGAATATCTACTTGAAAGTTTGCTGAAGTACAATTTTCCCATTAATTTGAATGTGGGGAAATTTTCACAATTAAGATAAATATTTCAGAAGTGTGAAGAGTATAAAAATTCTGAATAGAAGCATGAATGTACTGAGAAACTTGAACATTTTGATACCTGAAAGTATGCTTAAGTAGAATTTCCCCATTCATTTGAAAGGGGCAAACTTTTCAGAATAAAGCTAAATATTTTTAAAGTGTGATATTTTGAAAAATTATTAATAGAAGCATATATGTCCTTGAAGAGCTGAACATTTTGATACCCGAAATAGGTGAAGGTATGCTGAAGTCGAATTTTCCCATTCATTTGAATCAGGGAAAATTTTCAAAATAAAGCTAAATATTTCAAAAGCATGAAGTTTAGAAAATCTCTGAATAGAAGCATGAATGTCCTTGGAGAGCTGAACATTTTGCTACCTGAATTATTTGAAAGTATGCTGAAGTTGAATTTTCCCATTCATTTGAATGGGGTAAGATTTTCAAAATAAAACTAAATATTTCAAAGGCATAAGGTTTAGAAAAATCCTGAAGAGAAGCATGAATGTCCTTGAAGAGCTGAACATTTTGATAGCTGAAATAGCTGAAAATGTGCTGAAGAATTTTCCCATTCATTTGAATGGGGCAGAATTTTCAGAATAAAGCTAATAGCCTCAACACGGACAAGACGAAGGAGATGATAGTGGACATGAGGAAGGAGAGGAGATCTCATCAGCCACTGTTCATCCGGGGGTTCGAAGTGGAGAGGGTGAGCGGCTTCAAATACCTGGGCGTCCACATCAGTGAGGACCTCACTTGGACACATAACACCACACAGCTGGTTAAGAAGGCCC